ACAACAACAACAACAACAACAACAACAACAACAACAACAACAACAACAACAACAACAATAACAACGGCAAACCATCACCACACAACGAAAGCCAACGACAACAACGACGACAGCAGTAAAAGCAGCAACAACTACCAATCAGCAGCAGCAGCATACAACAACAACATTGAAAAGCGTTTTAACACCTTGGCGCAGTGCTCGAAAGACTTGGACAAGAGCGCGTCGCCTGCAAGGATGGCGATGTCCTCCCCGTACTTCACGTGGCACGTCGGCATTCCCCTGCAAGAGGAACACAAAAACAAGTTAAACAAAACACCAGCTACGCGCCGCGATTGGTTTTAGTCTAGACTGGACGAATTCTTGTCGCAGCGCCGTTGAAAGACAACAGAAACACACGGCAACAGCAGCAGGTGTGTAGACTGGCGACAGAACGTTTCTCTTTTTTGTCTTCACTTCAAATCATAGATGGCACGAACACACACAGCAGCAGTAGCAGCCCTTGAGTAGTGTTTACATGTAGGTCGAAGTACATAGTCGAAATATAATACTGACGAGATAGATACAAGATTTACCGACTAGGCGTGGAACGAAAAAGCAAGACAAGACATACCGGCATCCAAATCCGACAAGGTACAAGATTTACACAAACAAGCTTGAAGAAAAAAGAAAAAAACAAAACACGCCTGTATCTACACCGAACAGATACACAAGATTGAGCGAAACAAAATCCAACCAAGAGAAAAACAGCGAAACACTATCGAACCCCTCAAAACAAAAAAAAAACACGCCTGCGAAGGTCGTCGTCATCCATTGCGGGAAGGTCGTCGTGGATGAGAGACATGGTGTGGATCATCTCCGTGCTCACGGCCGTGGGCATGGCGGCCTCCATCGAGCCCCCGAACATCTCGCAGGCGGCGATGGTGAGGATGGGCCGCACGCGCTTGCCCCCGGCCATCAGGGAGTAGTGAATTGCTTGGCATATGTGAAGAAAAAAAGGGGGGGGATTGGGGTGGGATCAGGTGTGAGGGGGTTGGGGGGTAGGGGTAGGGGTTCTTTTGATACCTGCTTG